TTATATTATCTTCAGTGTATAAAGTATTGCTATACTGATATCTTGACGACATAAATTTTACACGTGAGCATGAGATTGCAAAACTATGTTTTACTTCTAAGTTATCTCACGGCAAATATCGTTATCTTAGTGTTTTTTTTTTCTATTCAGTTTCCTTGACTGAAGGGAGGGTCACATCAAATAAAATGAGTTTGTGGCTACGCTTGCTTGCTTGCTTGGGGTCAAAGTTCAAGTTAAAGTAAGTTTGTAGTAGTCAAGACTGACTCAGGCTCATTTTTCTATTTACCAATCAGGTGTATTTTTCGTTTGGGAATCAGGCAATAGGATTTGAGTATGCTGAAACTTAGTCCAACAGCTATATTTTCAGTTTTTCTTTCAGCCGATATAAGTGGTGCGAGTGTGTTAGTGAAACTTTCAAATTGTTATAAGGGTGTGGATGTGTGGTGATAGTTCTTGTCTTTCTGGTATGTGTATGAGGCAGATTTGAGTGTGGTATCAGGACTTGAGTTTCAGTCCGTCTGTTAGTTGAAGTTTGCTTTCTAGCGCATATTCCTTTCGTCGAAAACACGTACGAGAATAGGTGGCTTTGTGCGAGTATGAACAATGACATGAACTGATCCAGGTTCTGGATGTGTAGTTGATGATTGAAGCAAATTCTGAAATGGCAGGTAGCTTTAGCAGAGTGTTTGGCAGTTTTTCTGGCAACGATGCTCGCTGACTGAGAAACGATCGTGAAAAGTGTATAATTGTGCTGTCGTTTCTTTGATTTTAGCCACGAGAAAGAGCGAATACAGTTTCTGCAGGATTTTCATCATTTTCCACGTCGAAAAAGAGTCGGGAACTCTCGAGGAGTGGATGCAGATATATGTATGTATTGTTAATTGTTTGAGTGCCTGGATGAGTGGCGGCGGGGCAATGGCTAAAAATGAGAAGATATCAGTATATTTGTGGTTGTATTGAGCGCGGCTATCGACAGGATAGATAAGACATAGTTTGAATATGTGAGAAATAGTGCGATTTTGTGTGATAGCTGAATTCAGGTGTTTCGTGTGACGGTATACTTCTGGGTGTTATTTTGGAATATTAGGAGGTTTGTGCTAATATTAATTTCTCTGTGGATATGGAGAAATTTGAGAATTAATGTATGTGGTTTAGGGTGCGAACGTTGAGTTGCTAGCAGACGGATGTGAGAATAAGGATGGAAGCAAATGGTAGGAGGATAAGTGTGTGAGGTTAAGAGTGTATGATAAAGAAGGTGACGTTTTTGGCGTGAGCATAGCAGTATGAGCATTGAAGTGTCAGGAATATGAGAATCCGAGTAAGAACGAGTATCACAATGGTGTGGGTGTGGGTATGGATGACAAGAAGACATACACTCACACACATCACATGCATCTTATCTATGCAGAAGAAGGAATCGGACTACATTTAGACGCGCACGTGGAAATCAAGAGCATCAACAATCGTATAGAATCAACGCATGTTGTCGATAGGCAGCGTTCGATTCCGTTCAATTTAATTTTGTTGGAAATTATGAATGCATCCAAATGCAAAAACGAGTGCGTTTTATCGTTACATGGGCAAACGTCATCTCGCTTCACATGCTTCTATTTTCTTATCATACTCTATTTTAATATAGATATTTATGAGACGATAATATTTTTTCTTTTCAACTAACATTCATAGAATCTAACTATCACTCTCAGCTTTTTCTCTGATCCAAGTAATTATCTTGGTAATATTTTACTTATTCGAACTTCATACATAAAAACAAACCTTCAGTTTTGCTAGTTATACAGTCATATGCAAGATATTCTGTTTTTTTTTCTTTTGCGTTCTTCTACCTATTGCCACGACTGTGGTTGTTAACGTATAGAGGTAGAATAGACAAAAATGCTTCAATCGCTACGCATGTAAGTTTGTATATTGCTGTGTTGCCTTCATTGATTGGCTAAGAAAAAAGAATTCAAGAATTAGTCGTTATATTTTATTTTCACACATTGTCGCATTTCAAGATTTAATAAACGACATAACGAAAAAATACGATTCAAATGACGACCACTGAAAAGTATGTTCTTTTCTTTCTCATACAAGATGTTTCTTACATGCACATATTCATTTCAGCGATCGACTCTTCAAGGTATTACTCATCGGTGATTCAAGTGTTGGTAAAACGTGTCTTTTGACGCGTTTCACTGTTAGTAGTGTTCATTTTCGTTTACTAAAACTTATTATTACATTTTGCAGAATGATACATTCAATGATAGCTTCAAGTCAACTATTCGTGATGAATTCGTAAGTGGTTACTTTTTTTCTAGTGTAAATATATAGTAATCATTATCTATATTTCATTTTTAGATGACTAAGTCCATTACAATTGATGAAAAAACACTGAGATTACGAATTGTAAATACTTATGCTTGTCATTGCAATGTAAAAGAACTATGTTTGAATGTTTTAGTTGGATTTATCTGGTCAAGAACGATATCATGCTGTCTCAAGTAATTTGATAAATGATGTATTGTTTATTATTATTTGTGTCAATTCATCTTGTTACACTCAGAAATTTAAATATATCTTCTATGCTTGAATATCTTTTGAATTCCAGTTAATTCGGAGAAGTCCATATTGTTGAGACTCATTTTCTATGTTTTAAAATTTTGTATCTAGTCAAACATGTTTTTTACTGAAATATTCGATTACTACTCAGAAGAGAATTTTAAAATCCAAAGTTTGCATTTCCTTCGACAGAGACATTTTTCTATTGCATTGAGGAGATTAAATATGTTTTCTATTTTCAGGTGCTTACTGTCGAGATGCGCATGGCATCATCGTGGTTTTTGATGTTACGAACGAAGTATGTGATTTGAAAGATTTTTTTTTCTATCGCAGTTGATATGGAACTATTATGTTTCAGAAATCATTTGAGGATATCAAGGTGTGGTTACAGGCAATCGATCAACATTCGGATCAAAATGTGAAGAAGTTATTAATTGGTAACAAATGTGATTTGACGTATGATAGAGTTGTTGGTCATGCAACAGCTAAAGTATGTAAAAACTATAGATAAATTCAACAAATTATCGTTTTTTGCTTCTTAGAAATTCGCTGATTCATCAAGTATTCCATATCTAGAAACATCAGCGAAAAGATCAACTAATGTCGAACAGGCGTTCACGACTATGGCCATTGAGCTTATGTCTATTCCTGAAGCAGAAGCATCGTATGTGAGTCATCAATTGCAGATTAAACCAGATGAAAGTACGATAGCGACTAAATCTGAATAGTAAGCCGTTGATGATAACATTGTTCGTAGGCAACAACGAAATATTTTAGCGATCATTTTTTTAAATTATTGATCGTTGGAGATTCCGGTGTCGGCAAGTCATCGTTGCTTTTACGTTATGCCGTAAATATTTTTCAATGTATTTTTGTCAAAACCTATCGCTATTTCTTCTAGGATGATACTTTTATTGAAAATTTCATATCAACTCTTGGTGTCGATTTCGTAAGGTTTTTTTTTCGGTAACATAATCATATAAATTATTGTTTGAAACACATGTAGAGATTTCGCACAATGGAACTTAATGGGAAAACGGTTAAATTGCAAATTGTAAATAAATATATGTATTTTATGAGCATAATTCTTGAATAACTTTGTTTTATTTAGTGGGATACATTTGATCAAGAAAGATTTCGAACTATCACAAGTAAATTTTTTCATCTTCTAGTTGCAAATTGCACATTAGACACTCACTAATTCGTAAAGTTAACTGTAGTAGATATGGAAATTGCTTTTTTTTAGAATTACTAAAGATACGAAATAAATTCATTATTGTGCACAGCTGCTACTATGTTTCATAGTTCAAAAAACTTTCAGTTTTCCGAGACCAATCATAGTTTTGATTTAGAAGAAAGACAGTTAAATATGAATACTTAGTTAACACTGGTCAGATGACTATCTTTCAATCGACAATAGAATTAGAGTTTTTATTCGTGCTCATCGTTGGTGTTTATAAATGATATTTTCAGTATATTCATCTTTCATCCGCAAAAATTAGTTTAACCGAATTGATATAAGCAATTATTTGAAACACGCTTGAAGATTACTCAATAATACAATCGAATAGACTTATTAAGTATCCGGAAATTATTAATCTATACTCTTTTTAGGTAATTACTATCGAGGTATCCATGGTATCGTCGTAGCTTTTGATGTTACGAACGAAGTATGTGATGCAAATCTTATTCTTCTCATTTAGTACAACACTATTATTCTAAAGAAATCGTTTGAGAATGTCAATAAGTGGTTCCAGGAAATCGATCGACAGGCAACAGATGCCATGAACGTGTTATTAGTCGGTAATAAATGCGATTTGACGTATGATAGAGTTGTTGGTCATGCAACAGCTAAAGTATGCAAAATCTATAGATAAATTCAACAAATTGTCTTTTTCTGCTTCTTAGAAATTAGCTGATTCATTAAATATTCCATATATAGAAACATCGGCAAAGAACTCGACTAATGTCGAACAGGCATTCGAGACTCTGGCTACTGGAATTATGTCAATTCTTGCATCAACAGAAGCAAAAGCATCGTCTGTCAGTCATCAAGCAGAAACCAAATCAGATGAAAGTACGGTAGCGACCAAATCCGAATAGTAAGCCGTTGATGATAACATTGTTCGTAGACAACAACAAAATATTTTAGCGATCATTTATTTAAATTATTGATCATCGGTGATTCCGGTGTCGGCAAGTCATCGTTCTTATTACGTTTTGTCGTAAATATCTTTCAATGTATTTTTGTCAAAACTTATCACTATTTCATCTAGGAAGATATCTTCGATGAAAGTTACATTGCAACTATCGGTGTTGATTTTGTAAGTTTTCTATTCAATAACACAATTATACGAATTATTTTTTAAAACTCATGTAGAAAACTCGTACAATTAAGATTAATGGAAAAACAGTTAAACTTCAACTTGTAAATATATTTTTTAATCAGCGTAATCATTGAATGACTATATATTTTATTTAGTGGGATACAGCTGGTCAAGAGAGATTCCGAGCTATTACAAGTAATTTTTTTTTACCTTGCAATTTAATTTTGTGATAAAACAAATCGAAACGTTAACGCATCTAACAGATGAATATGTATCATCTTCTTATTAGGATCTATTCTCTTTCTTATTTGTAATATAGATATAAATACTTTGAGCCAAAGAAAAAAAAGCTTCTTTGCTTTCGTGTTCTCTTCTCTTCGTGACACTTTTGACTAGATGTCTACTTTAAGTTCTTACTCTCACCAAGAATAATTCTCAAGCTATTCTATTTCACCATGAAGTATCGGACATGTTCATGTTTTTGACCTTTCAATGTTTTACTACGTCTCGCAATCTATCCCATGTCTAGTGCAAATACTTTTTTCTACGTATTTGATGAAAATATTCATGTCATTACTTATTGAAAAACAGTTAAGCATTGATTAATTGTAGAAGTGATACAATTGAGTAAATGTATTCGATACATCTTATTGTTCGATCCTCTTTTTAGGTAATTACTATAAAGGTGCTCACGGTATCATCGTACTTTTTGATATTACAAAAGCAGTATGTGATTTGAAAGATTCTTTTTTTTTTCTATCTCAGCTGACATTGAACTGTTATTCTTAAGGAATCATTTGAGAATATTAATAGATGGTTCAACGAAATTGATCAGTATGCAGCAGATAATGTGAAGAAGTTATTAGTTGCTAATAAATGCGATTTGACATCGAACAGAGTAGTTGATTATGCGGTAGTTAAGGTATGTAAGATCTATTAAAATTAAATAAAAAAGTTGTCGTCTTTTTTTCTTAGAAATTCGCTGATTCATTAAATATTCCATATGTAGAAACATCATCGAAGAATTCGACTAATGTTGAACAGGCGTTCGAGACTCTGGCTACTGATATTATGTCAATTCTTGCATCAACAGAAGCAAAGGTACCGTCTGTGAGTCATCAATTGGAAACTGTACCACTCCAAAGTACTATAGCGACGAAATGTGAATCGTAAGCCGTTTATGATAATACTGTTCATATAGAACAACGAAATATTTTAGCGATTATTTGTTAAAATTACTCCTCATTGGAGATTCCGGCGTTGGCAAGTCATCGTTGCTTTTACGCTTTGTCGTAAATATCTTTCAATGTATTTTTTTTAAAGTACCTATCGTTATTTCTTCTAGAAAAATACCTTCAATGAAAGTTTCGTATCAACCATTGGAATTGATTTCGTAAGTTTTTCTTTCAATAATATAATCATATCAATCATCATTTCAAAACTATTCCAGGGATGTCGTACAATACAACTACATGGAAAGAGAGTTAAACTTTCCATTGTAAATATATTTTTTAATAAGTGTAATCATTGAATGACTATATGTCTTTTTTAGTGGGATACGGCTGGTCATGAACGATTTCGAACTATCACAAGTAAATTTTCTTACTTTGCAGTTGAAAAATGTATAGTAGGCATTCATTAATTCCTAAAACTGATTGAAATATTAATTTCACAACTAATCAAATTGTATTTGAAATTCGTTTTCTATCTTATGAGACAATGTACATGCTTTTTTATTTTTTCACCCCGCACATCCTTGAAATATATTCATGTCATCAACAAAAAATTATTTATTGAAAAACAGTTAAGCATTGATTAATTGTGAAAATGATACAATTGAGTAGATATATTCAATACGTCTTATCGATTGATTCTCTTTTCAGACAGTTACTATCGAGGTGCTCAAGGTATCATCCTCGTGTTTGACGTGACGGATATAGTATGTGATTTGAAAGATTCTCTTTGTTTGTCAGCTCATATGGGACTATTATATACTTAAGAAATCGTTTGAGAATATCAAGATATGGTTAGAAGGAATTGATCATCATGCATCAAATAATGTGACGAAGTTATTAGTTGGTAACAAATGTGATTTGACATCGAAAAGAGCAATTGATTATGCGGTAGCTCAGGTATATAAGATCTATAAAGATAAAATCAACAAGTTATCATTTTTTTTCTTAGGAATTTGCTAAATCGTTAAATTTGTCATATATAGAAACATCGTCGAAGAATTCGACTAATGTTGAACAAATATTCAACAACTTGGTTTCTGAAATATTATCAAGAACAGTAAAGGTATTATCTATCCCTGAATCAGCGATAGTAGAAACATTGTCTGCAAATGAAAAATCTGAAACCAAACCAGTTGAAATTACGACAACGACAAATTCTGAATAGTAAGTTGTGTATAATAAAGAGATGATGTCTTTTTGTTGACAACAACGATATTTTTAGTGATCATTTGTTAAAATTACTACTCATTGGTGATGCCGACGTTGGCAAGTCATCGTTGCTGTTTCGTTTCGCGGTGAATACTTTTCAATGTTTTTTGTGAAATTTATTAATATTTCGTATAGGATGATACCTTTAATGAAAGTTATTTAGCAACTATCGGTGTTGATTTCGTAAGTTTTTAATTCGATAACACAATTATATGAGTTTACTATTTAAAATGCTTGTAGGAAACTCGTACAATGAATCATAATGGAAAAACGGTGAAATTTCAAATTGTAAGTAGATACTTTTATGATTGTAATTATGAATGATTTATTATTTTTAGTGGGATACATCAGGTCAAGAAAGATTTCGAACTATTACAAGTAATTCATATCTGATTTATTTCTCCAGAAGTTATTAATCTGATCTTTTTTTTTCAGGTAGTTATTATCGAGGTGCGCATGGTATTATCATAGTTTATGATGTTACGAACGCTGTAGGTGATTTGAATTTTGTTTTTATTTTTATTTTTATTTATCATTGTACTCTTCTTCTTGAGAAATCGTTTGAAAATATCAAAATGTGGTTACAAATAATCGATCGAAATGCGAATCAAAACGTAAAGAAGTTATTAGTTGGTAACAAATCTGATTTGACATCGAACAGAATTGTTGATCATACAAAGGCCAAAGTATGGTAAAAGCTAAAGATTTAGTCAATCGATTGTCTTTTGATATTATTTTATTAGAAATTCGCTGACTCATTAAGTATTTCATATGTAGAAACATCGGCGAAGAATTCGACTAACGTTGAACAAATATTTAAGAATACGATAATTGACATCTTATCGAGTACATAGGCGAAAAATTGAAGCAGTGTTTATTATTTATGGAAAAATGAGAAATTAGTATTTTCTCCTTACATGACTCTATTTCATCTACTTTTATTTTTTGATTCTCTTTACTTAATACATGCTATTCCGTGTAGTGTGAATCAATTGGGATTGTCATTGTGTATTGTAATTCTTTACTTCGAAAAGTTATTAATCGCAAACATCATGTTTTGCATAGGCGATTGATTGTATGATAAAATTGCGTTTTTAACATTTCAAACATGTTAATAGAAAAGTTTGTCTTCTGCACTGCAGTCGGAAGGGTAGAAAAAAAAAAAAAAACTATGCTACTTGATGATCATCAATTATTATGAATGGTGAACAAAGATAAAACAAAACCTAATAATAGATCAATAGCTGAGTAAAATCGGTATCGAATTTTAACAAGCGGTGCCATTGTACTATACGTCTTCGTTTAATATAAAGTCGTACATATAAACGAGACATTTTTAGAAAAAAAACTTGCTGAAATCAAACAATGTCTAACATTCCTAAAAGATTATTAATGTTCGATAAATGAGTGAAATTATATTGTCTGGGGTCATATGTTTGAGTGTATGGAAAAACATTATCATTGTTGATAATGTTGAATTTATGAAAAAATCTAACTCAGGTAAATAATACATTGTATAACACTTGCTATTATGTTGCATATTTTTGATCAAGGGCAGACAAATAACATGTTTCTTCTATGTATTCCGGGCTGCCAAATCCAAATTTTCGAATGAGGTATATATTGTTGAGGGTAATGGTCTTTTTTTTGTTGATATATAGTGATCAGCTTAAAAAAGATGCTGAAATAAATTTCTTTTCTAAAAATAGCATACTATTTCGTTTTTCACAAAAAGAAACACTGTCATAATTAAATCATAATTTTCAGAACGACTATTATAGAAAACCAGAGAATGTTTTATTAAGTCGAAGCGTAAAAAATTTTCCAGAAGGATCTTGTATTGAATTCCATATTTTTTTACAATTTTGAACTTCCTCTTTTATGATGATTGAGTTCAAAAACCTGATAACAAGGCATGTTTTATGGTAAACACACCAGTTTTCAAAAAATAATTAGTTAAAGCAGATGTTTTATTATGGGAAAGTGTTTCTACCACAACAAAAAATTTCAAATAAATATACATTTTTAGAAAAGATTGAAATAAGTTAGAGCAACATTTATCAGTATGTGCGAACATTCTTTTAACTCTCCGTGTATATTCTTAATTAATTTCATATATAATGATTTCTTTCAAGAGTGTGGATGTCGTTGTAGGTGTTGGTGATTGACCGTTTATCCAAACTACACCCACGCCCACAAATACAATCAAATCACCGGGATTTACTCAAACTTTTCTTTTAATATGAAAATTCAATGTTCTGTAAAAATTATTAGGATTATATATTTCATGTAGAAATGAGATTAAATGAATTATTTCTATGGAGGATTATTTAAGATAAATTGACTTCAGAATGAATTTGATGAAAGAGTTTTAGCTTGAGCATAAGTTATTATTTCTATGATAAATTCTTCATGAATTGAAGATAAAGCTTAAACAACCAATATTTAGCTGTTTCATCAACTATAATTACAGAAGAGGATATAGGGTGTGGGTGTCGCTAGAGAGTGAGTCTATCCACAAACCAACACTCACACCCACACCCAAGTCAATTTTCTCTTAATTATTCGAAAAAGAAAGAAGTTACTATATCATTTAAAGAATATTTTTATTTCAAGAAGAAAAATGAATCCATATGGTTTCTATTATTGGTGCTACAAAAAGAAGTTGAGTTAGCACATGAAAAAAAAAAGAAAAGAAATGTCATAGTAAATTATTGCTGTTGTTGACATCTTAAGTTTCAGGAGCAAGTAGTTTACGAATATGTGAATCTTTTTTGCATCTAATGAAAAATAAAATATAAAAGATACAAAACTGATATGTATCGTAAACTAAAATATACCCAGCGATGAATTCTTCTTTACTCAATTTTCTGTCACCATTAATATCAAGGCTTCTCATAATCTCTACAGCTCGTCTCTTTGGATCTTTATCACCTTTACGATCAGTTTCACCTACAAGATCATACTGAAAAAACAAACAACAAAACTTGTTTTATTCATAGATTTTAATTAAAAATGTGTACCATAGCAGTAATCCACTTCGTCAGTTGTCTTTGATCGATATGTCCATCATTCGACATATCATACCTATATATCAAAGGAATCGTGCATTAAACAAACATATTGAAAAAAATTACATATCAAAAATAACATTAAGACGATCCTCAAGATTTGCTTGAGTTGGAACTGAAAGAGCTATAAGAAATTCATCAAAATCGATTGAACCATTACCATCAGTATCAAACATATCAAAAGCATGTCTAAAAATGAATAGATATTTTACTGATTAAATAATATTGTTAAATATAAGACTATACTTGCAATATTTGTCTCCTTCTCCATCTTCATAGAATTGTTTGTAAAGTTTAGAAAATTGTCTTTTGCTTAGTTTACCATTGGGACAATCATCAATAAATTTCTAATTTCATAGAAAATAAATGTAAAACAGGAAAAGAAATCATCGATTAAACTAACCGCATGCCAATTTCGAATTTCTATATATTACAAAAAAAACGAAATAGACAAGAAAAAAACCAAAAGACATAAATGACCTTGTTCAGAATAATTAGTATTTGCTTTGAGGAAGGCAATATCTAAAATTGATAAAATAAAACAGTAAATTTTAACATAAATCAAATAATGTCACGTACGTTTTGGAGTTAATTCAGTCGATTCAGTTGATTTGCCTTCTTTATTACCCATATCAAATTATGATTTTCACGATAGAAGAAAAAAAGAAATCTACAAGAAAAGTTTCCTCTGTTTTGAATACGTTTCTTCAGAAATTCATGAATGTCGACTGCATCGTCGATAGTATTTATGCAACAAAAGAAGTGATAAAAAACAATCATTGAGAAGTAGACGAGGTGAAGCAAGCAATTAATGTGTTTTCTTCCAGTGTATATGTTATGAAGCATCTTTCATACTATGTATCATGTGATGAATACGCCTAGAAGTGATGTTCTAGGTTTATGAATGTTTAATTTTTTCGATGAAATATAAAAATCTACACATGACTCTGAAGACAGTCAGCTGTACAAGGCAATACAAGATTGAAAAATGAAAGTTTTTTTTTTTCGATTGTCTTAGCCGGCAGAAATAGTTGAAAAGTAAAATACAAATATTTTTACTTCACTCACTTTTTTCTTCGACTACTATTAAAGCAAATACATAAAGGATAATTTCTATAGTGTATTTAGAGAGTTTCTTGTAATCTAGTAGTTCTACGTGGCAAAAAAAAGAAGAAAAACAAAAATCTTGATTCGGAATGTTTGCTCGAATACAACATTGAACAATTGAAGAAAAATGTCTACAAATATTCTTCGTTGACTATAAACTTGAATCAACTTATTCTCTAGATATCTCTTACAAAAGAATTATCAAGCAATGTATAATACAAACTCGATAATACTGTCAACGTTATATTTATCCAAAGGAAGCATTTTCAGTAGTGTATTAACCGAGATATGTATAATACTGCTAAGATCTGTCAGATGTAGATAACTGTATATTTTCTTCTTGTGGTGATATATAGAACTTTTTGTTGACATTGTTTTATATATGAATTATGCTTATATCAGTACTGATGATAGAATATTTTTGTAAGTAATACATTACTTTATATATGAGACTTTTTGAATGAAAGAGTTGAAAGAAGCTGACAGAATTCATATAAAGAAAAAATGTTTTTTTTGTCATAATGCTCTTCGATTGACCTTGTTATTAAGTGCACTTGACAGTTGCAATAATACTTAGAATTGACCAAAAGTTCATAGAACAATGTTTAAATTTTTATAAAATATTTAATATCGAAAGATTTCTTGTGCAAATACATAGTAAAATATCTCATCTATAATTCTAATAGTCTTTTATATAAAGTCTATAATACAATGAATATGTGAACATTCTCCATCCAGGGTTCGAGTATATTTCTGAATTTCGCACGCTTTCCTTCCTCTCGCTCTCATGTATTTTCTGATGTCATGTACTTAATTATTACATTTGACAGTATACAGGGTTGTGTATAATCTTTTGCTAGAGGGGTAGCCGTATGATCTCAAGTTGAATACTTAATATATTCTATACCAAATTAAAGCGCGTCGAAAACGGAATATATTAGTACTAAATAGTAAGAGTTATCAACACTTTTCAATGTCAAACTTATGAAATTTTCAGAAATTCGTATGCTTTTTTTGGTATAGAAAATTAAAGCGGCAGCAATTCAAATATGAAGTAAAATATTTTCTTTTGATATTTTTACATGGTTCGATAGAGCTCGACGAGCTTGTAAAAATATCAAAAGAAAATATTTTACTTCATATTTGAATTGCTGTCGCTTTAATTTTCCATGCCAAAAAAAAGCATAAGATTTTTGAAAATTTCATAAGTTCGATATTGAAAAGTTTTGATAACTCTTACTATTTGGTACTAATATATTCCGTTTTCGACGCGCTTTAATTTGGTATAAAGTTTATTAGGTATTCAACTTGAAATCATGAGAATGCACCATGATGATCAGTGTTCTTCTACGTTGGATTATGTGCTCTAGTTTCAACAGATTGAATGCACAAAACATTGAATTGAAAGAAAAATGTCCAAACAATTGTTAATATTCTAAGCAGCCACTATACTTGATCGCTTGAACAGTTCTAGTACGAAGACCTCGAACAATTTTATTTGATTGATTTCGGCCTCGAACACGATTCTTAAAATATTTTTCTTCCGTGATACTTTGAAGTGAAATTCGAAGGGTATTGTTGGCCGACAACTAAATTGGAACTCAACGTAATCTTATCTGCAGTGCATAGAATCAACTGTGAAAGGTCAGTGAATCGATTTTTGGTATCGAAATAGCTATTTACGAATGAGAGGCGAACGACGACTTATGTTACAAACATATTTGATCAGAAGCAATTGTTTCTTACCTATTTCAATCAATTGCCTGGATGATCGAGTGTCAACAGCGACATTTTGATCAATATACAATCGTTTATTTTGTTAATTGGCAATTGCAGTATTCGATCAAATGTCCATGTGATCAGAGACTGTGCACACTGACCTATCAATTTCCAAATATTGATAACGAATGAACAATTGATACATTGGAATCAGCAATCGATTAAACAAATGATTTATTAAATCGAAGAATTCCTAATCGACTTTCAGATCGATTAACAATCGAGGGTGTGCGTGAAGCACTTACCTATACTCACATCCACACCCACCCCCCTTACAGAAGCCATTGAAAATACTTCTCTAGAGTAAAAGTCTTTGATACAGTTGGCTTTCACGTGGGATATCCTTATTTTCAAGTTACACTTAATCATGATACAAAATATTTACATAAACAATTGCCTATTGATTACGGACAGGTGAAAAAAGTAAACTTTCAAAGGACCGATTATTTCGAGTTTAACAGATCAATAAAAAAAACAGACCAGCTAATCTATTTTCTGTATGTTATTTTATGTTTAGTATTGTTTTCAAATCAATCCTTCTTAATATAATTCACATTTCTGGATTCAGTGAGTATGCGGCACACATGTCTCTAAATTAAAACCAATATCTGTTCTATTTGGTGACATGACTTACTGAAATATCTTCTAGCTGAAGAAGCCGAAAAATATCTCTTGAAACATTCTCTAAAGGACATAGTACTCGTCAATATGGCTAATTATTGGGTTTTCATTGTTGCCATGAAAAATGGTGACATTTTTTTAAACAAAAGATTTAACTCACATATTCTGGTGTAATTTGTTACTTTCCATTGATCCCAATGAAATCATTGAGCAATTGCTCGGAATTATTTAATAGCTCCTTATATACAATTTTTCAATAAGTGTTTTATTCTAGAAAAAAAGAGGTTGCTACAGAAATGAACACTTCTGTATACTACCTCTTTTAGAGTCATTCGTCTATTCCTCTGCTCCCACAAAAATGGATAATTATACCACGCTTAAATCAATAAATTTCCTAGATAATTCTGATACTTCTCAAAGTACTTGAAACCATCTCAAAATCTGAATCATAGCAGCTGTACTCACTTTGAAAGGACGAATAATCTACGCACTTGCTTTTCGACATCCTTCTTTTAAAAACTCTCCAAAAATGTTTTCTCATTCTTATTAACTATTATTCAACATGAACTATCACAATTAGATCAAATCAAATGAGTTTACCATTGTTTTCTTTTTGCTCTCCTCAACTATATAACTATCACCAGCCGGTTAATGCCCACTGTTATGCTTTGTACTAATTTTTGTGTAAAATGAGCTCCTTTATGTTTGACACAATAAATCGTTTTCCTTCTGCGTTACAAGGTATCATTCAAAAATGATTTAGATTTCAATTACGAATTGCTCTGTTTAAACATAAAAATTTCAAATATCTGGTACAGTTCACAGTGGATGGCTGAGCTGAACCATATCTTGTCTCATTTTTTATTTCGAACCAAAAAATAGCGGATAAGCTCAACAATTGTTATTGAAAAAAATTAAGCTTTGACTTTGAATCTGTTGTGCCGATGTATTTGATGCATATATTTGGTTATTGCATTGCACCCGACATGGCCAATCACATTGACTTGTTTGTTGATTCCACCATAAATCGTATGGAATATTGTTAGCACGAGCACAGCGAAAATCAAATCTAATGCCGGATATGCATCGATGGAAGACGTTGCAGTATCGACTTGATACGTACGTACCATTGGCTTGATTATCACAAGTAACGTCCGAATCGACAGTCAAAGTGTCTTAAATTGAAAGGAAGAAAGTACACGAGTCAAATTTTTCTATTTTATACAAAATAGCAAATTTCTTGGTCTACTCAAGTCATTCTAGTCGAACCTGCCAAATATAACTACTAGTGTTTAGTTTTTATGTGTATAGGAGATTGCTTACTGATTTCAATTCGAGCAATATGGGTAAAGAAATCGATGAGAAAATAGACAACAGATGCTTTCGAGATACTATTTCGATGTTCAAACGATCAATGAATCTCATGATGCAAAATGATCAATTAGATTTCTTTCACGAAAGCCATCCTTAGATTAAAGCTATGGCTGAATACAGTATTCCGCAATTGGTATTACATGAATGATCCTTTATATGCTTGATGAATAGCCTGAGATAAACAGTACGTAGACTTATATGAGATACAGAAAAGCAAAGAAAATACACTTCAAGAAAGTAAGTTTCATTCGATTTACTTTGTGTGCCAGATGGTCGTCCAGTTAACGTGGGTACAGCCGTCATTGAAGTATAATATTCATTTGTCGGACAGCCACCGGTCTTATTACTTGCAAAGTCACATCTATATAAAGAGGAGTAAATGTTCATTAGATCTGTTATTGTATTAAGTAGGCAAGAAGTAAGTTTATCATCTCAGTATATGCCTATTCAGTGCGTATACATTTTGAAGAATTCCGCTGATTTTGTCGCGCTCCTATTTTTCGTTTTTAAATGGCTATTACATTTGAAAACTTGCATATCTGTTATCATAGGTACGAGTATTCGAGATCGATCGATTTTCAGACAAGAAGTGAATAACGTGTGATTTATAGGATATCGACTCGAAATGTGAAGTAGGTCAATAGACAACATTGTCCAGAGCGACGATACTACTTCTACATATCCAATTCGTCTCACTGATTGATTAAATCTATTTTAAAATATTTTTGGAAATATATCTACTCATATATATGAAAAATAAGTATCATCTTTAGTTTTGCCGAAAAGAAAAAAATAAACACCTATCTTATCTTTAATGACTACCAAAATTTTTTTAGCGTTGTTCATCGAGTGTAGATCGCTACAAATACATACATCATCTGACTATATCACGTCTGACATTTTCGCCTCGGACGAATTGCATAAAATGAACGGTACAAGTAATCTGAATTTCTTACTTTATATCTTCAAACTTACATTTGAGTTTTCTCGTCGAAATAGAATCTTTCTCCCACTTGAGGACATCCATAAGATCGTTTCTGTTCGCCAGCAATGCATGCGTGAAATACATCGCAATATCTCAAGTCGCTCCAAAAGCCATCAAGGCGACCTTTACAATCGAACGGAATATCCGTTAGAACTTGTTGATTTAGAGTCGGAGATACAAAAACAAATGCTAGAGCTAGAAAGAAATACATGTTAGTTTTTAAATGATAACAAGAAAAGAACAAGACTTGCCGATGAAGAAAATTTGTGTCATAACAGCGACCAACTCTTCCTTTGATAAATTGTAAAGTAACGAAACGCACACGAGATTTGAAACGACTGTTTTTTGCTTCTATCTAATGTATCATCCGTAATATTTATATCTCTCCTCTCCCACATTTTCATGTTCTTTTTTTCTATTGTCTTTTTCCATTATCATGATGTTCACCCACTAATAGTTTTAGTAAAGGTTGCTTCTCAATCTAAAAGATGATTAACGAAGAGAGATAGAAGAGAAAAAATATTGTCACAAAGAAAGAATGAGGATTATGATAAAGATTAGGGATTTCGACATTTTGTTTTACAATAGCGTAAAAAGATAAAGTTGAATCAGAAGAATGACACGATTGAAAACGATTGTGGGAGTATTATGGAGCTTTAATGACAATATTGATTTGGATTGTTGAATGGATAGATAGAGGGAAGAAAAGTATGTATTTAATTTAGTTTTTTTTACCAAATAATGTTCTTTTGAATGGCATGTTTTGAAAATGATAAAATCTTTGAGGTTAAATCAGCTTCGATCAAGGTTTGTATATAATCTAATTCAAAACATAAAACCGACATGATGAAAGTAGAAATTTATAATGAAAGAATTTCAGGACCAGCAAATTGTAGAACTTACTTTTTTCCATTAGGTGGGTGTGGGTGTGAATGTCGCTCTTCTTATCATCCACACCCACACTCTTTTAGAATTTTTCAACTTAACTTCGTCAAGTAATTGAAAAGTTGAAGTTTTTAATCACTATGTTGATTGAGATTCATTCCTATCAGTTAGAAATAAGTGTGAATATGGATTCTATGAATACCATTAGATTATATAAATGTTGCAAAACTATATACTATATATTTATTATTCTGCAATAACCCGTAACGACAAATGAATACATCAGAAAAAAAATTTTTAAATATTTAACTAACGGGAAAAAAGTCAGATGACATAAATCATATGAAATAAAATGATCCTGGAAGATGTTGTTTTATTAAAATGAACGAACCAAAGAGACTTATTTCATGTAGACGAGGAAAGTATTCCCTAATTTTCGGTATATAACGTATCCTGTATTATAATGTATCGTGTCTGATAAATAAAATCCCACATCTTAATTGATAATTGATTCTTATAATATCTGATATGCAAACTCTTGCAATTCATCAGTTGGTATTATGAGTTAGGTGAACAACAAACAAAGAATAATATAGCATAGAGGGAAAAAAAACAGAGAAACGAGACACCTACGATGAGCGATCCAACTACGTGTACATATCAGTTCAAGACATGTTGCATATACATATATATGATAAGACTGCGACTGAGAAAGACGTAGGAACGAAAAGAAAAGGTGATTTAGAATGTATAACAAAGGAAGATACTGAGTGTAATCGCAAATCATATTCAAGAAGAAAGAAAGAAGTGAATATGAACGAGAAGAAAGAGTTGACTATAAAGATGACGCTAATAACAGTTGATACCGATCATAGATCGAAATCGACTCGAATCGAATCGAGTCAATCGTACAGGATTGGATTCTTCAAATATCTGAAAGAATGTTTTTCTCGGATGGCATAATCAAGAGATTAACATAATGCTTTAATTAATGTGTACAATTGAAAGTGAAGAGAATAGAAATTTGTATGTTTATTATTGGCTTCTGTCGAGTTTTGTTTTGCTTATACTCTGGAATATTTTTGTTGCAATCAAATCACAAATTCGTTCGGTGACCGTTCGATATTATCTTCGACCACAATCTATCCATCTATTTTATTTATCCAAACACATAGTTTTCATCTATTCCAATGATTTTCACATCTAATAGCTATAGGTATAGTTCAATTGATAATAAAACCTATCATTGATGTATATAACGGAGAGCGAATAGTCGATTACTAGATTCTGCAAAAGTTTACCTATTTTACGTTTGATAAAATTCAAGTAAACTGTGTAGGTCGTAAGACAGACGACTTATGCTATATGACGACTATAGTTGTGGTGACAGGCAATAGGCAAAGCAAAGTTATGAGCATTGACCAGTTTTTTTTTTGAGTAGATCCGAGTCAAGTCGCGATTTTTTTGACTTGTTTCAGTCTATAGTATTGATTGAGGTACTTGCAAACAATAGTTACAAATTTTATAGTCAAATATTTAAAACGATAAAGGGTGTGGGTGTGGATGAGTGTAGATAAAAAAATATTCGCAATCGCAACCACACCCACACACACCCTAGGAACAGACTCTTACATACTAATCACACAAGAGAAGAGAAAGAGAACAGATATATATCGTCAAGGTCAACAATAAGAAAAAGTCATAGAGAGAAGAAAAGGAAGAGTAGTGAAGTATAACGGTCAATAACTGTTACACTATCTATCTCCAATAACTCTCGAATTCGTTTTCGAAATGATCAGACTGAAAGTTTCACAGCATTTATAAGAATGCTACCGACATGGGATATAAGAGGTGCATGTGTATTGTTTCTATTTTCGACCAATTTTCTAACGAATGCTAAAGGATTGGCATGGAAACGACATTGTTGAAGTTGTAAAAGGTCGCGATGTTCTGATTTTTTCACGAATCCATCAATAGTAATCCAACATTTCTCAAAAGCATCTTCTTCAATCTCGATACGAGGTTTGGGACATACACCTAGGCAACGACAATAGGCTGTTTGCTCATCGGTAGTTTCAAAGTAGAGCGTGCCATTAAAAATAAATAATGCTACCAACCATTCAATCGGAATTTGGAATGTAACAGCACCACGATCGGGTGCGATTGACGGAGGAATTGTTAAAGTGGTTGTGTTAACTACGATTGATTGATCTCGTCTAGTCCGTGGTAACAATAGACGTAATGTTGTAGTCAATAATTCTCCAGGTGATTGTTTACGATAAAGATCATGTAATCGGCCCATTAGCCAATTGGCTTCAAAAGGACTTACAAAAATTATATGTTCATTACGATAGACCAGAATCCATCGTGCAGGACGTAGAAAAGGATCTAATGATTCTCCATGTGTTTGAATCACACGTTTGAATTCATTAGTAATCCAAAGATTTTGTTGCCAACAACGTGGTTGACATTCACGATAGAACGTAGTACCAAGAAAAGCATCAGCAATAGGACAAAATGCTGACGTTAATTTTGATAAATTCAACATAGGAACGTGCATATCACATAAAGCTTTGATCTCATCGTGTAATTGAGGTTCATAGGGACGAACAGATGGAGGACGTTTCTGTTGTCGTTCTTCTTCCAATTCTTGTTCTCGCTCTAGTTCTCGTTGCTGCTCTTCATCTAATAATTGTGTGAGAAGTTTTTTTGAACCACCATAATCCGATAATCGTTTGGAAACAGCTTCATGAATTTCAACTGATGAACAAATATTAGAATGTTTGTATCGAGCAGAATAAATGTCAAATATTGTTTGAAATGTTTTCGATACACCATACATAGATTTCAATTCTAAGACTTCAGCTTCCAAACATTCTCTGGCTATGTTTTCCATTGTCGTATTTGTATACAATGTTCCTTTTTCTTTCCAATTAATATTTCGAAAAGCAGTAATTTTTCGTTGAAAACTTAAACTTTGTGTTGCCCAGAGATGTAATCCATCCCATGTTGTCTGTTGAGTATTCTCATAGACCCAACGGAGAATATCAGTCAGAGTAATTCGATCATCGATGCTTTTTTCCTTTTCATTTGGTGAAATTGAATTTTTCTTCATTGTTCGAATTTGTTGATGAACTTCGTTTGAACTCCAAAAACTTAACCAATGATGTTTGCCTAATTGTCTCATTCTCATACATGCTTGAACTAAGCGATCCTTAGTGAGACCATTTCCTAAAGTGACAGCAGCTCTAAATTCGTTCGGAAATTTAAAATCTGTTCCTCTCGTATGAATTTCATCTAAATAAAATACACAACGATCGAGACGTTCACTAGCAGGTGATGTCAAGAAAGCATGATGTTGATATTGACGATCACAAACGAATATCGAATCTGATTCAAAATATACAGCATAATCGATTTTAATTTTATCCGATAGATCTAACCATTTGACAGCTATTTGACGATTGGTTCCATCAACGAACAAGGCGCCAACGTCTAGAATGACTTGAATCGTTGGTTTGCTAATAATAATACGTTTCAAAATTTCGTCAGAGTTCGTACTAATCGGTAAATATTGATAATGGTCATTTTCTGGCTGAAGTAAATTATTAAGAACAATGGCGTCTGTTTTTTGCAATTCTGGTAAATCACATTGACGAATATGAACAGGCAATAATAATTGAGTATCATTTGTACCACTAAATCCAGTGATTATTTTCTCTCGTAAAGATGAAGATAGATCCCAAGCAGAAGCGACTAATTTATGTGGAAATTGTTTTGCTTCTTGAGGAAAAACAAAATGATTGAGAAAATAATTTATAACAAGCATATTGTATCGTAAAGTTGGAAAGAGTAGTTGAGTTCGTTGTTGATAATCTTTTAGATTGACTCTTTTCCATTGTCTTATACTTGCAATGATATCGTTTTCCTCTTCCAATGAAATCCATTGATCATAGATCATTTCTGGGTCACTTTCATCTTGACTCAAACGATTAAAACATTGAAGCATTTGTGAATCTGTCAATCCTTTATAGTAATAGGAAATTTGTGTTAAGACAATAGCTACATCTGGATGTCCAAATTCTGTATTTTCCGCTGCAACATCTTTTGCACGAAATGGTACAGCCATTAAACGATTGAATTTTGTATTTTGATTCACACCAAAATTAACACGATAACGTTTTTTTAAGCCAACAAATAACACTTCCGATGATAAAAGACCACGCATAATCAAAAATAATTGAATTATATTATGAGAAAATTGATCGACTAGACCATTGATCGATGAATTCGTATCCAATATAAATGATAAGATAAGTTGCTGGTCTAATTGACGATAACTTTTTTGATTAATCCAATCGCTTGCTATTCTTCGGCATAATTCTAGA